ATTCAGGCTAGACATCAGGAGGCGCTACTTCACGGTCAGGGGGGTTAGGATCTGGAACCAACTTCCAGGCGAAGTGGTGCTGGCTCCAAGCCTGGGGGTCTTTAAGAGGAGGCTAGATGTACACCTTGCTGGGGTCGTTTGACACCAGTACTCTTTCCTGCCATGGCAGGGGGTCAGACTAGATGATCTACTCAGGTGCCTTCCAACCCTACCAACTATGAAACTTTTACGGATAGACAGACAAACAAAGGCTTTTGTAATATTACACACACGCACACACACACAGACACTAGGGTCCCTGTTACCTTGCACAACTGGGGAATGGAGGGTGCTGGTAACCTAACAATTCCAGTTACCTGAGGCACGGGGGTTTCCGGCCCGATGCAGAGCAGGGGGGTGGTGTCGGCGGCAGTGGTGGCTGCATATAGTGATGGTGGTGGGTGGCGGCTGCCGCATGCGAGCTTCTTCTCTCTCCCCCCGCCCCGCGTGCAGCCAGCTGGCCAGAAATTCCAAAGTGTTCTGGTTATTCAAAAGCCAGATAATAGGTGTATGTATGCATGCATGCATGCAAAAAAAGTAAAGCAAGCGATTTTATATACATACACACATACATATACCGGCACCTTACGAGCTGTCACGTTCTATTAACCAGCATGCCAGCTTGTAAGGTAAAGTGAAACCACAAGTGCCCACCATGGCACTTTCAGGTTTTCAAAGCCCCCATGGCCCAGGGCAAAGCAGCCTGCACTGCTGAGCTCCCATGGCCCAGGGCATAGCAGGCTGCATGGGGCCCGCCTCCCTGTCCCTCAGGGTCCATGGGAGGCGTGGGAGGGGCGGCGATACACCAGATGCAGTGGGAGAAGTGGCGGCATGCACAGGCAAAGACGCCTGTTCAGGCCTCTCAATTAACTGGCATATTTTGTTATCCGGCACCCCCCTGTTCCCCATGGGTGCCAGATAACAAAGCTTTTACTGTGTACACACTTTTTTTTTTGTACCACTTGCTGGTAACGTGGTAATGTTCTTATGCTTTTGTAGATATCAGTTTGAAAAACAATTCAGAAACATTTGGCAGTAGACATCAGCTGTATTTTGTTCCAAAGTAACCCCCTGTGAACACGAGGGTTTACAAAGCACCTGGGGGTACATGTTGACAGCAAACAGCTGCATGGGACTACTGAGGTGCTCCAACTGTTTGCTATGGCTTTTATTTCAAAGAACATCACTCCACTGATAAGCTGTGCTGGACTGCTGACTAACTCCAGCTGACTGGAGAAGCGGTACCTTTTGAAGTAAAAGCTCCAGTAAATAGTTGAATGTTTGAAAAATTCTTAGTTCAGCAACTTTTTGCAAAGTAAAGTTTGCAAACCACACAGATACGAATAACCCAGGTTCTACTTCTGTCTGCTTGCATGATAGAGGCCTTAACTGAAATTAGTAAGGCTACTCATATGCTTTAAGTGACGAACATCCTGGGTTGCAAGACCAGGACCCAGTGCTTGATATGAAGAACAACAGCTGTTAGTATAAATTTCTTTTTATTTCAAAACTGACACACTTAATCTTGGAAAAGCAGTCACTTTTGGAATAAGAGACCAGTAAGATAATGAGGAGCTACACCATATGATATAGGATTATCATAAATTTATACTTGTCATTTTGCTTCCAAAAAGGCAAACTTAAGTCCTGTTTGCTATCACTGAAGAACAAATCACACATAAATAAGAGAACCCTCCATTTTCTGACCAAATCCTAGTTCAGAGATCCCTAGTTATATTAGTTTCTGTTGAAGGAGATATTATGCTTAGGGCAGGAAATGAGTGTGACTAGGTTGCTTAATACTTACTGACTGTTAATGGTAAACAAAATATCGTTATATAGGATTTGTATAAAAGTTAAGATATTAGCCATGTGAGAATGCACACCAACATGGGGTCTGAATTCATTCAAAATTCTCTTAACTATCAAACTAAAACTAGCAGGGGACTCCGCAATACATGAATTTAAATAGAATAAATTCTGGTAACATTAACTATTAAGGTGTTGACATGAAAAGAACTGTGCTGTGTTCAGGTAACAGAGCAACAGGGCACATTAAACGCAGATTGGGCAGAGGTGGGCAATTATTTTGGGCAGAGGGCCACTTACTGAGTTTCAGTAAGCCATTGAGGGCCGTATGACAGGCAGCCAGGGGCAAATAAATAGTAATTTTTTAAATTTTTAGGGGCCCTGCGGTCCAGATAGAATGGCCTGGCAGGCCGTATTTGACCCATGGGCCACATTTTGCCCACCCCTGAGACAGGGCCTTTAAGCTTTTTCTTGAAAAATGATTAATTTTTCTACATGGAACATCTGTATTATTTTTCAAAACTTTGTTAACAAAGTTGCATGCTTTTGACTGCCTGCAAGTCTACTTTGTTCAGCAGACAATTACAATAATAATAATAATAGTAGTAAACTAAATAAATAAACAATCTATTTTTATCCACATCCAGGAAGGAAATGCAGATTTCCCATTCAAAAAGCTTGAACAGAAGCACTGTAGAGAATGAAATTCACCATAAATGCAAAGTTATTTTACTCAAAAGACAAAGATATTTGAATCTCAAACTGAAGGAGACAGTTATTAATACAAACTAGAAACTGGATGCTGTAGTCTGATCTTAATTATAAACAACCTTACCTGGATGATTACTGCAATAGTTGATAACATGTCTTGGCTTTTTAACATACATATGTTCATTATTTAGACATAACGAACTGACTTGTTGGATGTAAGATTATTTACTACGTTTGACCCTTCCAGATACTGAATACCCTTCAACTGGCATAAATTCAATGGATTCTGAAGAGTGCCATTCTTTGTTGGATGCTTAGCGACTTGCAGATAATGCTAGAGTCTTTCATTAAGGTTAAGAACGTCCTTGTGGCATAATGGTTCTAAGTTTTAGAGAACTCTGCTAATTGTATATTCTTTAACAAGTGACATCTTCAATAAATGAGGACATAGAGCACCCTTGCAAGATCAGTATCTAAGGCAAAAAGCCTGTAGTTGAATTTGCATAAGCAAACTCTTGTTACTTCACACACACTGCACTAAGGTCTCATCTTCTTTAAGTTACAACTCAAGTACTGCCCTATCCTTAATTTTAATCCACATATGGAAAGGCTTTAACTCAAACAGGCAAGTTCAGAGGTGTCAAAAGATCCAGCATGTAGAGCCCTATCAGCTGTGCCACAGTACGGCCCGTGCGTCTCAGAGCGGACCAGCCAGCCACACACACCACAGGATGCAAGGGAAACAGTCTGCAGGACTGAGGCCACGGCATGTTCCACACAGGGCTCAGAGGCAGGAATGTGCGGGGTCAGTCCAGGGCTCCTGCACCCAACCAGCCCATGCACTACATCCAGCATGCAGGGCCTGTCTGCAGGCTGATCCGACCCACAGGGCCAAATGAGTTTAACACCCTGGCGTTAGTTGCTAAAGCTGGGATTTAGCACAGTTTGTCAGCTGCCTACATTAACATATCAGCAGTGTTTAGAAACAGAGATGTGGGTTTTTCAGAAAAATTTTAATTGGAAAATTATTTGACTTACATTTAGTAAACAAAACTAAAAATGTATCCCCATGTCAATTTTATGTCCTAATAGCCACAAGTATTTGAACTGAAAATATTTGATTAGGAAAAAAATTAAATACAGCACACCTAATGTGGCTTAAATGTTATATTCAAACAAATTCAAAGCTTTATGTGAAAAAAAATATTTTTATTGGAATACTTGTAAAAATGTAAAGGACAACACACAATAGCATGTACTTCTCTTATACTGTTTTTTAAATTTAAGAAAAAAACCAAAGGCACAGAAAAATGCTGACAGACTAATTGTAGCACACCCAAAAAACTGTCCATATGCCATGCTTTGGTTTTGATTTGACCAGCACAGATAATTAGGTGAATTCATAACTTGATTTTTGGTTTGGATTATTATGTGAGTGTATTTATCCTCTTGTTTACAAATCAATAAAACATATGTACTCTCTCACAGTTCCTAGGGATAATCACCTGAAAAACATTAAATTACAACTTTAAAACTTCCAAGCTTGCCTAATATTGTATTGGCATCCATTCATTGTTATGAATGAATTTTCTGAAGCAATGAATTTTTAGAAATGGAAAATTTCACACAGAAAAATAAAGCACTGGAAAGTTTTCTGTTTTGGAAAATTCTCTGCCCCACATCTCTGTTTATAAATTATAATTTCCCTGATTATGACCAACTGTAATGCTACAATGCTGTTCCAAAACTCCCCCTCAATATCCATGTATGTCAAGTTCCTTATCAATTTACTATAAAAGTCAGATTTATGAAAAGTACCATATCCCCCTGAAAGAGTCAAGTGCCATACCAAAGCATCCAGCTGGAATTGTACAACACCAAAGTGCTATTTCACAGAATGACCTCTCAGTTGAGCTACATGAGCTAAAGAAAAGTACTCATATTAATCCTACCATGACAATGCATCATAACTCAAACTGAAATGCTGAAAGTCTTACAGTATTAAAGATCAACAATCTAAACAAAAACACACATGAATGCAATTAAGCATGGAAAGTTTTATTCCAAAAGGATTTTTTTTCAGAACATGAAAAAGTTATTATGGGATAGAAATAGTAACTATACCAAGTCATCCTCAAGCTTGTGATACCATTAGCACTAACCCAAAAGAAAACTCAAACCCGCCTCTAAAATTACTCGCTATTTATTCATGATTTTTTTTTTTTTTTTTAAACACACACACACACACACAGATCTGTGAAACCCCCACACCAGAAAAGTCAACTACTTGGCCCCGATGATCAGTCAAGAATCCTGGCTAATTTTAACAGCTGAAATTGGCAACTCTTGTTAAAGACTAATTATATTTAAAAGGACAAATAATTGTAAAGAATAAATGAATAATTTAATTATTAATAATTTGATAACTCTTAATAGTTAAGTGATGTGTTTTATTAATCAGATCTTCTTTATAGCATTGCAAGAGGCCTCACTAATTACCATGTCCACACCAGGTCTCAACTTGTTCCTGCTTCTGAAAACAGAAACAAAAGGGCTATATTAACAAGAACCTGTGTAAAATTATTTTTACAAAAAAAGAGTAGTGTTCAGGTTAAATGCTATTTTGAAATGAAGATATTTTACTTAGATTAGAAACAGCTGTAATTACTTAAAACAATTTTTAAAAACTAGTCTATTACTTCACTTAGAAGACTCGATTTAGTAAGAGTTCGAGCCAAGTCTTTCCTGTCAACATCCCTTAAAAAAAACAAATAAAAAAAAGCCCCTTAAGTTTTATTTATACAAAAATCTACGTTAATTATATTACAGAACCTGAAAGTGAGGGGAGGGAGGTTTGTTTTTTGGCTTTTTTTTTAAATTTCCTTTGCCTAAGTTTTTCTCCATAACCCAGTACTGTCTAATTGGTAACCCATGGATCACATTCAGCTCCTGGACTCTCAATTCGGGTCCTGCTCCCCTCAACCATTGTAGCTGCTGCTGCCATCACTGGAGTCCTCCCTCCTCTGGTTTTCCACTGTCTGCCCCTGGGAACAGAGCCAAGGTAGTTTGTAGCCTGGAGTCTCAAAGGGACCCAGGGATCTTGTGCAGCAGAGTGGGTGCTGGCACAGCGCAGCAGAGTTGTTTTCACTATGTGATGTAGTGGCAGGGGAAGTAGAAGCGAATATGGCGCAGTATGATAGGGTGCTCAGGGCAGTGCTACAGGCCTGGTCTCATGAGAGGCATGCAGTCTGTGAGCCCCAGCTATGCAGGAGTTGGATAGCTCTGCTTTAACCTGTAAGTGCTACGAAAAATAGGGTTACTAACACTAAGAACTCAATTTTGAGTTTCATTAATAAATATGTATGAATAGATTAAATAAAACTGAAAAGTAATTATATTATATTTTTTCAGTTGCCAATATTTCTAAATAAGCTAAAACCTTCCTGGTTTTATCAACTGCAAAAATGCACCTGTTTTAGAACAGTAGATATACTAAGAATGATTTTTTATGAAATTATGATCCAGGCCATTCATCTGTTGTCAAAATAATTCCTGGGAAGGGAGTATGGACCTGCTTCTGCAAATTCTTATTCAAGCCAGTAACCGTTTGAAGAATCAGACCCTAAAATTATCCTACTGTTAATTCACTGAAAAACAGTCATTTAAAGCAAGAGTGTATGACATGACTAACATCACAGGTGACACCCTTGCACATAAAGATCCCAGGTAGCATAATCAAAGTTATCTAAAATGCGGCCTACAAAGCTCCAGAACCTGACCTGAACCTCACATTTAAGGAAAAATTGTGAAGTTTTTGGGTTTTTTAATTAGCTGATATTTTTAAATTTCAGTTATGACGGAGCACTTCTCCCACTGCATCACCTAATTTCAGACAAAGGGCTAGACTCTTGCATAGGTCACAACCATATTTATTATTCACCTCATCCCTTCTATAATTTACTCTTTTTTTTTTTTAAACAGTTAGGCATGCCCCCCATGTTCCTGATCAAGCTGTAAACACGCTGTGTGTGAGAGGAAAACATGGACAGGTCTCTGAATAAAAATAATATTTCCAGTTCCAAATAAGACACAGAGCAAGTTACTTCCTGTAAATTATAGCACTGTTTACAAGCACTAATTTAAATGAGAACTGTGACACTTTAACACTGTTTTTTCTTAATTTATTAACCTTTTTTGTACCTGCTCCAAAATGTTCAGTTCCTTGTATGCTTTAAAATACTTAGCCAGCAGCTTTCACAAGCAAAATCAGATGTTTGTTGTGCTACTGGAGATCCAGGGTGTAGTTTGTAGAGTCATTTCCAACCTACAGTACACTATTATAGGAAGTGCAAACATACATGGATATCTGTTAGAGTGGATTGACTAAAAGCTAGACACTTTAAGAAACACAGTCCTGCAATATGCAAATCACACAGCATGGCACATCTGTGTAACAGTATTTGAGCAAGGAAGGTTCTGACTGTCACTCAGTCTTATTATGCTATGGGGAAAGGGAACCACCTCCATCAATCCTCTTCAGAGCTAGATTCATCCTCCTCATCAGAGAGTTCAGCAACAGGAAAGCGGAGGATAGCTGCCACCCCTGTCAACTGGCCGAGCTGCTCCCCAGACACATGGAGGCTAGAGAAGATGCGCACTGTGCCCATGTTCTCTTTCACGCTATCTACCAGTTTCACATATCGGCTACGTGTAGCTACATCCTGGTGTCTGAACAGCTCATCACTGATCAAGAGAGTATCAATAGCCATGGCCTCATTGGCCTTCTCCACATGCTTGAGACCATAAAAAGCCCGGTCAGGCTCATGCTGTAGCATCTTGTAGAAGTCATCTAAAGCTTTGACTTCACCAGCTGCCTTGGTGTCAGAGAGACGATTGGCTACTGCTGGGTCACAAAGGGCTTCCTTCAGTGCATATTTATGTCCAGAGGATGAGTGGACCTATAATAAAAGTTAGACAGGAAGATAAAATAGGATCACTTAGTTGATCACCCAGACGCAAAATATGTTTTCCATTATCTACTGTATTTTCAGATGCTTACATCTGATACAGTGTGCCTTTAAAACAGAAGATTGTTACTGTCCTTTTCCTAAAGGGGCACTTTGAGTAAATGAAGGGGGAAAAATACTTCCTCCATTCAATATTAGTTCTAAATGCTAAACTCTTGAAGATAGATATTTGGCCAACAAAAAAACAAAACAAAAACCAAAACCCTACAGAATCTGCACTTCTGCTAGATTCAGAAAAGCTTCCTTTCCTTTTCCCTGCAACTTTACCTGTGAACGTATAGAGAAGACATTATGAAAGTAGAGAGAAGACATTCTAGACCAGAGGTTGGAAACATTTTTGGCCAGCGTGCCAAAAAACACTTCAACCTTGACCCATGCCTCAACTTGTTATACCAGGGGCAGATGGTGGGGAACCCGTGAGGGGTCAGATCCTCATTGCTGGCAGCAGGTGCACAAGCATCTCCAGGCAGAGAGCAGCAGAAGGGCTAGGGTTACGCTGCTCCAACCTCTCCCCGATGTGTGCTTGGAGATGTGTGTGTAGCTGCTGCCGCCACAGAATGTGGCCAGGGCTCCAGACTCTGGTGCAGCTGTTTGCCATCTCCCCGCTACCTGCCACAGCCAGCCTGGGCTCTGGCAAGCTGCAGACAGCTACATCGAGGCCCCGGCACAGGCTCTGCGGCAGAGACTATATGTGCGTCTCTGGGGGGATGGCAGTGGAGGGGCTGCAGTTGCGCTGCCCCAGCTCCTTCCCTACAGCTTGTCCCAAGGTCTGCGTGCAGCTGCCACTACCATGGAGCCAGTACTAGTACTAGTGCTCTGGACCCCAGTGAAGCTATCTATAGCCTCCCGGCTGCCTGCCACAGTCTACTTGGGCTCTGGGCAGCTGCTGCCTGCCAGGGAGCCTAGGCTGCTTGCAGCAGGGCTTGCAGCCTCCCAGCTGCCTGCTGCGAGCAGCCGGGCTCTGTGGCTGGTGGCAGCTCCCAGAGCCTGGGTTGGCTGTGGCATGTCCAACAAAACGGCTTTGCATGCCATTTTGTGGCATGTGTGCTAGGGGTTGCAGCCCCCTGTTCTACACTACCAGAAAACACATCGCACATGTCTGCATAGGCAGGACATGCGGATTTCTGAAAAAACAACTGAACTCTGTCCCTCAAACTGACTGGGGGGGGGCACTCTCTGTTCTCCCACTTACATGAAATAGAAATGAATATAGGTCCGTTAAGCTACAGAGTGATTTAATATGTCTGAGGCTATCAAGTTTGTGCCCCAGAAATCACAGGAACCCCCAGAACTTGAAAGCCTGAGTTTGGACTGGAGGCCTGCTTAACTCAAACTTCATTAATGCATCTTTAACAAACCCAGAGCTAATAAAACCTGTTTTCTCCACCCTCCCAATGAAAAAAAATAGATAAGACATGAGCAGTATGTGAAGCCTTAAAATTGCCCAAACAAAAGCCAAGAAAGACAGAAAAAAAGTGATCAGTAGCATCTTAACTCAGACATGCCAGATACAGATGCTAACAGAATTGTTTGTAAAAGCAACCTGGTTTGCCTCTTCATGGTATATTACATAGGCCATATCCAGGCAAACAGTGTTGAAGACAATTAATAACTTTTTGTAAGTTGCATTGGGGGGTAATGGGAGAGGAGGAGCATTCAGGTATCTGTAGTATCTGGTCCATCTAGATTTACAAGTCTCAAATGAAAAGGTATTGTTGGTTCTTGGCCCCTAATTTAAGCTCAATTAAGAAAAAAATTAAAATTAAAAAAAAAAAAAAGACTTTTCTTCTGAGGCTCACCTT